TGTATTGATGGTATTAACGATTACAAGTGTCAGTGTTACAGTGGTTTTAATGGTGCCCAGTGTGAGAATAACATCAATGACTGCCCATCCCATGGCTGCTATAATGGTATCTGTATTGATGGTATTAACGATTACAAGTGTCAGTGTTACAGTGGTTTTAACGGGAAACATTGTGAAAACGAGATCAACGAGTGCCTTGATAGTAAGTTTTGCAACTTGTATTTGCATCATAAATATCATATAGGCGATTTATGTTTTGATAGCCGAATATATTGATCCAATTAGCTCAGTCGCGGTCACGCAGAGTAAAACCACTGGTTGTATACGGTATTGTATAGTCATATGATTTTGTGCAATACGCCCTTATTGCTCGTTTTCAATCATTCTCATGAGATTCAAAAGATAAAAGACCGGCGGCCATGTTGGTGGAATGAACAATAGATACTAATTAGAAATCCTTTGTTAAAGTTCAACCAAGATGGCGGCTGTGACGTATATTGCAAACGAAGAATAAATGCATCAGGAGTTTCGGAGAACAATGCGTCCGCCATCTTGAAAAGTGAGACTCAAATCACTAAATTATAACTCCTAAAGAAATTAAAAGGTTCTAAGTTAATGTAAATTTAATATAGTATACGTTATGATAGATTAGTTGACTAAGCAGCTATGAAATTTGTTCTAAAGCAAAACAGTGATTCAGGGCCCACTTTTCAAGATGGCGGACACATTGTTCTCTGAAACTCCTGCTGCATGTATATAGTTTATCAATTTGTTATCTAAAAATTGACCAATCAGAGGCCCTATAAGGTAGGGGCAGATAATAGAATACACTGTGCCTATTAATATCACTTGGACTTCACTGACGCCAGGCAAAGTTGGTTCTTCTTTCGGTCTTTTTAGCCAAATTTTTTTGTTGTTGTCACATACTCGAGGTAAGTGACTCTTTTTTATTAATTTTATTTTATTGCTACTTTCCTTGTTTGGGATTACGGACTTTTCTACTAATGGGGGGCGTTCCCAAGTTCCGATGTTAAAACATAAATATGTTTTGTTATTCGATACATTCCCATAATTCCTATCGACCTTACATTTCCATTTTCGATATCAACTGAATAACACGTTGTCATTATTCTTCAGGTTCATCGTGTTTGAACGGAGCAACGTGTATCAATACAGTTGGTTCTTACAAATGTCTGTGTAATCAGTATACTAACGGGACACGATGCGAACAGGACATCGATGAATGTAAACTAAATGCCAGTCTATGTCAAAATGGTGGAATCTGTCAAAACTATAAATACCCACACGTTGATGGCAAGCAAATTAAGGGATTTGAGTGCATTTGTGAAAATGGATTTCAAGGTATCGTTATGACTTTTGTGAGTTCAGTATCATATACCCGGCATCGGTATGGTTTCTTGATTTAAAAATCATATTGTTGTTCTCTTTATTAGGTAAATATTGTGAAGAAAACATCAATGACTGTGCACTTAATAGCCACCCCTGCAAGAATGGCGCTATATGTATAGACGGAGTAAATGACTATTCCTGTCAATGTTCGACTGGATGGCAGGCAAAGAACTGTGATCAAGACATCGACGAATGCTTGTTGCGATACTGTAAAAACGGTGCTACATGTCACAACAGTCCAGGCTCCTATAACTGTACATGCCATACAGGATTCTTTGACACTGACTGTTCTTTATTCACTGACGAGACTTGTCAAAATGGAGGCACACTCAAAACTTTTGGTGACCACTTTAGATGCACATGCTTGCCAGGTTTTTCAGGTAAGGATTGGTCGAATGTATTGTAATTGTGTACGAACTAGAATTCAAAGTGTCTTCCTAAAGTAAAAACGTCTTCTAAGGCTTTGACTGAAAATGGCAATCCATAAACAAGGATAATTAGAACAAATGATTTTTTATGTCGGCATTCATTGGATTTTCCGTCAATTCATCACTGAATTTATCGATTGCTGTTATATCAACAGGTGCACTTTGCGACACGGTGATCACTGGATCTTCTACACAGCGTGATGGTATGATTTTTGCGTTTATTTTAAGTTTAGCATGTGGGAACTTTGGGCAACTTTGCCTGTTGAATACTAATCGCGATGCAAAAATTCCGCTTGAAAACCTTTTTTTCAGATACATCAAGTACCATCACATTCGCTATAGTCGTCACTTTGCTGGTATTGGTAATCTTTCGCATGGGAGCATTCATATACTTTCGTCGTAGGAAACGTAAGCACAGTCATTTAACAACACACTTTATGTAATGTAAAATTTGAGAGGGAGATCTCAGTTTATGCAGCTCGCAGGTTTATAGCCCATAAAGGTCGGACGCGAATATTTTATATTGCTTATCAAATTCCAACATAAGCTAAAAAAAACTTCAGGATTAGATATCATTGTTAAGAGAAAATCGAAGTTAAAGTCGTATGTAAATCAGGCCAAATCTCTTGCTCATATAAAAATGCGGTCGCGGCAATGATTTTCCATTGTGTTTACCTTATGAATTATTAATGAATTTGATATGGGATTTTTAGAAAAGTTAAGATTTTTTTTATTATTATTTCAGTGTTGAACCGAACCAATAGCAACGAACAGCAGTGAGTTTATTCGTCAAAGATTGCAAACATATAAACCGTACTATTGTATGTTTATTATCAAGGGTTTGTTCAAAGAAAGATTGACTATTGTCAGTCATATTTAAGTGATTATTATTCCCGGGGTACTCCCCTATATTCGCTATACGGGGACGTGCCGCCAACCAGGGTATCGTTTTCAGCGATTTTACTCTGGAACTGGGTATCGATTTTAACGAATTTTCTCTGGAACAGAGTCAGGGTTTTGATTCCGGAATTATTGATGCTGGGTAAAAATTCACGGGGTAAAAATTCGGCCTACACGCAAGCTAGTGTTGGATTTTACTCTGGAACAGGGTATAGTTTTCAGCGATTTCACTCTGGAACAGGGTCAGGGTTTTGAGGTCCCAGCGGCACACCTCCACCCAAGTTGCGGGGGAG